ATAATTGACACTTACCTTTAATGAAGATCTGGTGATGATTGATGGGATGGGAGGAGGGGAGAGTGTCGAAGTTTTTAATGTTTAGAAGGGGAATCCCCCTCCATTAGGACTTGAGGTAGCAAGTCCTTTTCCGGGGTTACTTCCCTTCTTCTTTTAATGCCACTAGGACCAGCTTGAGAGTCGCTGGACTTTTGTCGCACAACATATCTGTCCATAGAGGCCTGTACCTCTCGTTCCTTTATGACTTTCCTAAAGTAGTTCACAACATTGTCAGTGTATAGGTTGCCAACACGGCTTGCAGTAGCTGTGTCAGGGTGATTTTCATCAAAAAAAGGTTTGCACTTCAAGCCACTTTGCACACATTTCCTTAATCTTTGAAGTAGGCAACTTCGTCAATTTCTCTCTCCCCTCCTCCGAAGCAGTTTCCTCAGGTCTGGCCTCTTGCTGTTGAAGATGATCTAGCAGCTCATCAGTGGTTAGTTCGTCATTGTCCTCCTCCACCAACTCTTCCACATCCTCCCCACTAACCTCCAACCCCAAGGACTCCCCCAATGCCACAATGGATTCCTCAACTGGCATAGGATTCCCAGGGTTAGCCTTAAACCCTTCAAAATCCCTTTTGTCTACACATTCTGGCCAGTTTCTTCCAAGCAGAGTTCAAGGTCCTCTTAGTCACTCCCAAGCCTTACCTATAAGGTTTACACAATTGAGGATATTAAAGTGATCCTGCCAAAACTCCTTTAGAGTCAATAGAGTATCTGTGGTCACTTCAAAGCACCTTTCAAACATAGCTTTTGTGTACAGTTTCTTGAAGTTGGAAATGACCTGCTGGTCCATGGGCTGCAGGAGAGGGGTGGTATTAGGAGGCAAAAACTTGACCTTAATGAAGCTCATATCCCCAGAAAATTGCTCTGCCAAGTCTGAAGGATGACCAGGAGCATTGTCTAATACCAGGAGGCACTTAAGGTCCAATTTCTTTTCCATTAGGTAATTTTCACATTGGGGGCAAATGCATGGTGTAACCAGTCATAGAAAAAGTCCCTAGTGACCCATGCCTTACTGTTTGCCCTCCACAGCACACACAAATTAGCCTTGAGGACATTGTTTTGCCTTAACTCTCTGGGAGTTTCAGAGTGATACACCAATAAAGGCTTCACTTTGCAATCACCACTAGCATTAGCACACATCAGAAGAGTAAGCCTGTCTTTCATAGGCTTATGTCCTGGGAGTGCCTTTTCCTCCTGAGTAATGTAGGTCCTGCTTGGCAATTTCTCCCAAAACAGGCCTGTTTCGTCGCAATTAAACACTTGTTCAGGTTTCAGTTCTTCACTGTCTTTGTACTCCTTGAATTCCTTCACATATTTTTCAGCTACTTTTTGGTCCGAACTGGCAGCCTCACCATGCCTTAAATATCTCAAACCAACCTTTGCTGGCCTTAAATTCACTCACATCACCACTGGTTACAGGCATTTTTCTAATTAAATCGTCATGCAACTTCCTTGCCTTTTCACATATGATCGCTTGAGAGCTGCTGTCTCCTGCTATCTGTTTTTCGTTTATCCACACCAATAACAGTCTCTCAACATCGTTTATCACTTGTGATCTCTGTTTCCAAAACAAACTTCCACCTTTTGCAAAAACAGCTTCCTTGATTGCCATTTTGTTGGCCAAGATAGTAGTGATGGTTGATTGGGGTTTGGTATACAACCTGGCCAGCTCCGAGACACGCACTCCACTTTCGTACTTAGTAATTATCTTTCTTCATTTCCATAGTAATTTTCACCCTTTTTACCACAGGGTTGGCACTAGAAGCTTTCTTGGGGCCCATGGTGACTTATTTTGCAGCTACAAGCACTAAAAACAGTGATAATATGAGATGTACCAAATGTATGCTTAGATGCGACCACACTGGCTGGCTTGTAAACACTGGCACCCATGGGGCAGCTGAGGCCACGCGTGGGACGCGTCCCAGACGAATCACGTAAGGCGAGGCAAAATTTTTGCTTTCAAATGCTTAACGTAGGGCGATGCGTTCGTAAGGCGGGGGTCCACTGTACTAGAAATAAGCCACTTTGTCTGACTTTTTTGGGTTATCCTAAGTTCTCTACACATATGCTGCTGTGTGTGATAATCTATGTAGAGAAAATAGCTTTTTTGTTTGTTTTATGGTGCAGTATGAGTGTATATCACAGTTAGCCTTGTGCTATACTCCGTTTTCTCTAATATAAGCCCCCAAGACAGGGATAGGAGAATGGTACTTGTATCCCATAACCTCTTCATACTTCCGTCAAACTGCTCAGTATTATGCCAAATATTATTCATTCTGGAGTATTTAACATGTTTTTATGTTATTTATATTGTTTATTATGTCATATTAGATCAGTTGTGATAAGCAAATAAGTCGTAGTGTTAATATTAGCATAATAATAAAGCATATTCCCCTGCATCATGAGACAGCTCGTAGTAACCGACAGTGGCTTCAAAGCCACCTTATCTTTAATGAACAGTGTACTGTGTAGGTGCTTTACACGAGAAGCATTTCTTTTATTCGTCGGAACCATGGCTAGGGCTAAAAGTAAGCAGGTTATAACAATAAATGGAGAAAAAGAAATTGGAATGACTTATGCAGCAAGTAGTGCCACTAAACAGTACCAGCAGGTTGGTGTGGCGACCCTGGAAATTTGAAATTATGCTAGCCAAAATTAGTGCCGAATAACTGATGGAACCGGATGTCTGATTGCCGGATTTGTGATGGGGGCCCTGTAGTAAGATAGAAAAAGTTAGCATATGCGAGGTTTTTACAAAGTAGAAGTGATGCAAGGAGGGAGGGGTATATGGAATGAAAAAGAGAGGTTAAAAGAGTGGCGAAACAGTCTAAAAAGAGCAAATGAGAGAGTGGGTGAGATGTTATCAACAAATTTTGTTAAAAATAAGAAAAAGTTTTGGAGTGAGATTAGTAAGTTGAGAAAGCCTAGGGAAAGAATGTATTTGTTAGTTAAAAATAAGAGAGGAGAGTTATTAAATGGAGAGTTAAAGGCATCAGGAAGATGGAGAGAATATTTTGAGGAATTGTTAAATGTTGATGAAGATAGGGAAGCTGTGATTTCATGTGTAGGTTAAGGAGGAATAACATCTTATAGAAGTTAGAAAGAACCAGTTGTGAGTGTGGGAGAAGTGTGTGGGGCAGTGAGTAGAATGAAAAGGGGTAAAGCAGCTGGGATTGATGGGATAAAGATAGAAATGTTAAAAGCAGGTGGGGGTATAATATTGGAATGGTTAGTGTTTTTATTTAATAAATGTATGGAAGAGGGTAAGGTGCCCAGGGACTGGCAGAGAGCATGCATAGTTCCTTTGTATAAAGGCAAAGGGGGCAAAAGAGAATGTAAAGATTATAGGGGAATAAGTCTGTTGAGTATACCTGGTAAAGTGTATTGTAGTTATTATTGATAGAATTAAGAGTAAGACGGAGAGCAGGATAGCAGATGAACAAGGTTGTGTTAGGAAGGGTAGGGGGTGTGTAGACTTAAGTGTTTGCAGTGAAACATATAGGTAAACAATATTTAGATAAGGGTAAAAAGGTTTTTGGGGCATTCATGGATTTGGAAAAGGCGTATGATAGGGTGGCAGTGTGGCAGATGTTGCAAATGTATGGAATAGGAGGTAGGTTATTGAAAGCTGTGAAAAGTTTTTACGAGGATAGTGAGACTCAGGTTAGAGTATATAGGCAAGAGGGAGATTATTTCCCAATAAAAGTAGGTCTTAGACAGGAATATGTGATGTCACCATGGTTGTTCAATACGTTTATAGATGGAGTTGTAAGAGAAGTGAATGCTTGGGTTAAAAGATAAAGAATCCAACAGAAAGTGGGAGTTGTCACAGTTGCTCTTTGTTGATGACATTGCTTTTGGGAGATTCTGAAGAGAAGTTGCAAAGGTTGGCTGATGAGTTTGGTAGGGTATGTAAAAGAAGGAAATTAAAAGTGGATATAGGAAAAAGTAAGGTGATGAGGATAACAAACTTAGGTAACAAAAGATTGGATATCAGATTAAGGGAGACAGTATGGAGAAGGTGAATGTGTTCAGATATTTGGGAGTGGCCATGTCAGCAGGTGTGTCTCTGAAGGATGAGGTGAATCATAGAATTGATGAGGGGGGGAAAAAGGTGAGTGGTGCACTGAGGAGTCTGTGGAGACAATGAACTTTATCTATGAAAGCAGAGAGAGGAATGTATGAAAGTATAGTTATACCAACGGTCTTGTATGGGTGTGAGGCATGGGTTGTGAATGTTGCAACAAGGAGAAGGCTGGAGGCAGTGGGGATGTCATGTCTGAGGGCAATGTGTGGTGTGAATATAATGCAGAGAATCCGTAGTTTGCAAATTAGGAGGAATGTGGGATTATCAAAACTATTTTCCAGAGGGGTGAGGAAGGGTTATTTAGGTGGTTTGGAGATAGAGAGGATGGAACGAAATAGAATGACTTAGTGAGTTTATAAATCCGTAGTGGAGGGAAGGTGGGGTAGAGGTCGGCCTAGGAAAGGTTGGAGGGAGGGGGTAAAGGAGGTTTTGTGTGCGAGGGGCTTGGACTTCCAGCAGGTGTTAATGAGCATGTTAGATAGGAGCGAATGGAGACAAATGGTTTTTAGGGCTTGACGTGCTGTTGGATGTAAGCAAGGTAACATTTACGAAGGAATTCAGGGAAACTGGCAGCCCAGACTTGATTCCTGGAGATGGGAAGTAATGCCAGCACTCTGAAGGAAGGGTGTTAATGTTGCAGTTTTATAACTTCAGTGTAAGCATGCCTCTGGCAAGACAGTGATGGAGTGAATGATGATGAAAGTTTTTCTTTTTTGGCCACCCAGCCTTGGCAGGAAACAGCTGATGTGGTGATTAAAAAAAAAATCTTCATCTCCCTTTGCCATAACTTTGGGTACTGGTGGTTCATGGAACTTAAATAGACAGTAAAACATTGTGGAAAATGAAAAACTGTACTTTCTTCTAAGGCTTCTGTGAACCACAGTGTCTGCCACCTCTTGTGTGCTGTCCATCACCAAGCTGTTGTGAGTGGTGCTTGGTGCCTGCACTGTGAATCAGCAAATGTTCACAGGTATGCATGCTTACAGGAGAATGTAAACAATTTACAAATTGGGTAAAGAGTGATCTAAGAGTCTGTTACAGGTTTTAGAGGTTATTAGAGATTGGGTCTTCATTATTATTTTTTATTAACATATCGGCTGATTCCCCCCAAGGCAGGGTGGCCCGAAAAATTCATATTAGCATTTATGGAATTCTACACACAAAGCAGACTTTTATTTTTTTAATGTTATATTGTATTTTTGTTTTATTCCCATTTTTTGGGAATAAATTAATTAAATGATCAAATCTGTTTTTGTATATGTTGCTGAGCTGCATTTTGTTCACCAGTATATCTGTCCCCTGTACTAATTCACTACAGAAAAGTAATGCACCTTTCTTTAAGTATACAGAGGATTGAGATTCTGCCACTCTGCTCTGAATGTCCTTTGTGAGTTATGCTTCAAATTAATGTTAGATTTTTTGTATCGATACAGTACTGCTTTAGATATGTAATATTTTTTTTCCTGACAAATTCAGTAATCTAACTATTCATGCTTGTTTTTCTTTTTCTTCCCCAAGTTATATTTTGTAAAATACAGTATAACTTCCAGTGGGACTAATTGCTTGCTCTTTCCAAGTGACATTAAATCCTTTGTGAAAAGAATTTCTTTTTCGCTAGTGAATACCTGTACAATACTTGATGTATTATTGGTGTGCTGCCTCCTCCAAGTCGCTTCTCTAATGTACTGATGCACGAAAAATTTGTCATTACATTAAGAGATGTGAGTGACCATATGTTTGCCATGCCAGCCTGTTAGGTGCTAAGTCTTGTTTTTCCATACTGTAATGGAAATACCTGATTAAAATTATTTTAGTATCTTCAATGCCAAAAGTTGTCTTTATCATGCATTTTCTTTTAAAACCTGTCCCTGGGGATCTCTCTGCAAGGGATGTATACCAGGAGAAACTCATAGATAGTAAACTCAGGCTGTAACACTACAAGTTACATACATAATTTTAAAGTAATATTTTTTTTTTTTTATATTCATTGTGCTGAGATTTTGAAGGAACTCTTAAGTAATGTATATACATGTCATCCACAGATTTTTCAGCATGGAAGCAGTAGCGAAACATGATTTTAATGCCACAGCTGAGGATGAGCTCAGTTTTAGGAAAGGGCAAATTTTAAAGGTAAGCACTCTATGAATAATGGTTCATTACTCTAGTCATGCATTTTTTTTTTTTTTTTTTTTTAACACCAGCTGTCTTCCATTATTCATGCATAATTGAAGTGACCCTCTGAACTGCAACATCACCCTCCCTTCAGAGTGCAGACACTGCACACTTTTTCTCCTCCAGGAATCTAGTTTGGCTAACTTGGTTTCCTTGAATTTTTAGATGTTACTCTGTTCATACTCTAACAGTGTGTAAAATCATAAAAAGAAGCCACTTTTCTCCACGGATGTTCAAACCCTGGCACTCAAAACCACCTTTACCCTTTCTAGGGTCTACCCTACACCTCCTTTCCTATAGTTATACACCCTCTTGGTCATCATACAGCTCCATCTTCTCCATCTTTGAATTATGCTTTTGATAACCTCTACACTATTTTCTAACTTATATGCTCAGAATTCTTTTCATAATATACACATTACACATTATTTTCACAGATGATATCTCCACCGCATCTGGCAGCTACCTCACTGTGACATTTAAAGCCCATGTCTTGCACCCTTATAAAAGTGTTAGTACCACTGTAGTCTTGTACATTACCCTATTATACCTCTATAGATAAACTTTTTAACACAGATGGCTCGACACACCACCTGCTTTTTCCTCTCGTCTATTCTGTTCTTCATCTTGTCTTTCATGGACCCATCTGTCAAAATGACCACTCCCAAATATCTAAATATCTTCAGCTCTGTACTCTCTCCCTCCAATCTGATATCCAGCTTAAGGAGCTGAAAAAGCAGGATTCAGTTTTAAATGTAGTATGTGACTAAATGATTGAGGCTTCAACACCACATGTAAAGTGCATGTTCCTAATATGATAAACTAATGTATATTTCACTAGGAGCTGATTGTATGTTTAGCTTAGGAGATTTGAAGTTGAATCTTTTTTCCTTTCTGAGTGTTAGGTTTTCTTCCCTGTTGTAAACTAAAATTGTTGAACAAGGTGTGAGTGTATACAGTGGAACCTCAAAAATAGAACGTATCACATATCGAACATTTCGAAAATAGGACCATTTTTTCGGACAAACCGTGTCCCTATTATCGAACGCGCCCCTATTTTCGGACCGCCGGGTACGGGACATGTCCGCGGGCCCGCTCTGTCTGCGTCCCTGCGTAGGCGCCGTGAGCAGTCTAGCTTTGTTTAAACTTGAGTGAACACTAACCTGCGCTCTCATTCACACATTTTACGATTATTTCGTTGTGTTTAGTGCTTGTGGGATTGAAATAAGCTGCTGTGGGCCCAAAGAAACTTGCTAGTGGTACCCCTGTGGTAAAGAAAGTGAGAAACACCATAGATGTGAAGAAGGAAATAATACAGAAGTATGAGAGTGGTGTGAGACTTGTTGAGCTTGCCAGGATGTATGGGAAAAACAAGTCGACCATCGGTTCTATCCTGTCAAAGAAAGAACAAATCAAGGAAGCTGATGTTGCGAAAGGTTTTAAATTTATGCTAACCAAAAAAAGGGACCACAAATAGTTGAAGAGGTTGAGAAGTTGTTGCTGGTGTGGATCAAGGATAAAGAGATTGCAGGTGATAGTGTTTCAGAGACAATTATTTGTGAAAAGGCAAGGAAGTTGCATGCCGATCTGGTACAGAAAACTCCTGGAACCAGTGCTGATAGTGAATTTAAAGCCAGCAGAGGCTGGTTTGACAGATTTAAGAAGTGTAGTGGCATACACAATGTTGTAAGACATGGTGAGGCAACTAGTTCAGACAAATGGGCGGCTGAGAAGTTTGTACAGGAGTTTAAGGGGTACATAGACAGTGAAGAATTCAAACCTGAACAAATGGACAAGCCATCTTTGCAACAAGTTCAGTGGCAGAACCATGTCCCATTTTAGGGAAATGTTAAAGAGGTGCCAGAAACAGAGGACTGTGGACAGTTATTTTGTGAGACAGGGGTCCAGTGACTCTCAAGCTGGTCCTAGTGGCATTAAAAGACAGAGAAGGGAAGTAACCCCAGAGAGGGCTTTTCCTGAAGTCCTCATGGAGGGGGATTCTCCTTCCAAACACTAACCCCAACTCCCTCTCTCCTCCTCCCTATGTTCCAGATGCCATCACCAATCTTCAATAAAGGTAAGTAAAAATGTTATTTTATATGTATTACTATACATAATTAAAAACTATAGTACACCTACCATCCGACTTACGACCTGCTCGACTTAGGACCACTCGACTTACGACCGTGTTTTTTATGCCAAATTTCTGGGAAATAAACAACTATTTGTGTTGTTCACAGTGTTTATCCTAAACCTTACAGTATAAAATACAGTACTAACAGCATAAAAAGTAAAGTAAAACATGAAATACCAAAATAAAACAATAAAATAAAGTCATTACAAAAATGTTTTGTTGATATTCAGTAGTAAAGTTCGACTTACGACCATTTTGACTTATGACCGGTTTCTCGGAACCGAACTCGGTCGTAAGTCGGATGGTAGGTGTATTTGTTGTATGTAAAACTGTAATTAATCTCTATAAAATGTATTTTTTGTGTGAATATTTTTGGGTTTCTAGAACGGATTAATTGTAATTCCATTATTTCTTATGGGAAATATTGCTTCGAATTTCAGACTTTTCAAATTTAGAACTAGCTCCTGGAACGGATTAAGTTCGATTTTTGAGGTTCCACTGTGTGTGTGTGTGTGTGGTGTGTGTGTGTGTGTGTGTGTGTGTGTGTGTGTACTCACCTAATTGTACTCGCCTAATTGTGGTTGCAGGGGTCGAGACTCAGCTCCTGGCCCCGCCTCTTCACTGATCGCTACTAGGTCCTCTCTCTCTCTGCTTCCTGAGCTGTATTTATACCTCTTCTTAAAACTATGTATGGTTCCTGCCTCCACTACTTCACTTGCTAGGCTATTCCACTTCCTGACAACTCTATGACTGAAGAAATACTTCCTAACGTCCCTGTGATCGTTGAGTCTTCAGCTTCCAGTTGTGACCCCTTGTCCCTGTGTCCCCTTTCTGGAACATTCCTGTCTCTGTCCACCTTTTCTATTCCCTGCAGTATCTTGTATGTCGTTATCATGTCTCCCCTGACCCTTCTGTCCTCCAGTGTCATCAGTCCGATCTCCCTCAACCTTTCCTCGTACGACATTCCCCTTAGCTCTTAGTGTGTGTGTGTGTGTGTGTGTGTGTGTGTGTGTATGTATATGTATACAGTGGACCCCCGCATAACGATGGCATCACATAGCGATTAATCCGCATACCGCTTGCTTTAATCGCAAAAATTTTGCCGCGCATACCGATTAAAAACCCGCTCACCGATTTTCGTCCGAGACGCGTCCAATGTGCACCCTCAGCCAGCCTCACATGTGCCGCCCGTGCCATTGTTTACCAGCCAGCCTCCGCGGTAACATCCAAGCATACAATCGGAATATTTCGTATTATTACAGTGTTTTCGGTGCTGTTTCTGGAAAATAAGTGACCATGGGCCCCAGAAAGCTTCTAGTGCCAACCGTACACCAATAAGGGTGAGAATTCCAATAGAAATGAAGAAAGAGATCATTGATAAGTATGAAAGTGGAGTGGTTCGCCACTGGTCAAATTGTACAAAAAACCCCCAAACAAAAACCCTCGTCTATTGTGGGACC